GTTTTTTCCCCACATTTTGGGGGGTTGGGCTCCTCCTTAAAATTCCCACCAGACCTTAACCGCTTGAAGACCAGGTGTTTAGATCCCCTACCTGGCCAGGCCATTTTTCAGTATTCAGCGCTGCAGTACTTTGACTGAACTATACATTTGTTACAAATGTTTCACTCACACATGGATTTGTTTGTTTTTTTTAGATACTTTATTATAAACACCAAGTTTGATACTTTATTTCATGCTTGTAATACAACACTAATTGGGTGTAACACTGTGAGGCTTTTAGCGCTATACTGTTGATCCATTAGTCAGCAATTAGCTCCTGGTCAGCCCGTAAAAAGATGACCATCGAAAGCTGGTGGGTGAGCATTTTAGAAGTTTTATATCACGGCAAAAGGAGGAAGAGCAAGAAGAGATTTTGTGTTAGTACTGAGCTTTTGGAGTGATCGGAAGCACACATAAGGACCTTTGGACTATGGGGTCAATTCACAAAGCTTATTTTCTTCATTTCGGCCGTTATTTCATTGATATCGCTTGTTATATAGTTGCTGTGTGAAGGTTGTCAACTCACAAAACTCAATAACGCTTCTTTTTTTTACGAAGTGGTAAATTAACTATTCAGATGTTATTTTAACAACTGGAGTGATAAAATATGCTTGAAATGCAATTCACAAAAGGAAAAGGTCCTTTTATCACTCGTTATTGAGACGTAGATTTATCACCTCCTTCAGGGTGGTGTTGTAATAGATTTCAGACGTTATCTGATGCTTGCTGCACTGAGATGACGTGAGGTAGATAGAAATGGAACCTTTTTTCTTCAAGAGTATGCATGTGGCCAATATGGAATATATTTCTTCCTCATATGTGGAATTATTTTGTGTGGTGAAAGTGAAAGTAACAATCATCTAGGCATCTGCTCCACCCCTTCTGCTACCAAAATGCACTGCAAAAGTGTTAAAATAACACCCAAAACGTTATTTTATCACAGTAATAGATAAAATAAAGTCTGTGATGCTAAAATAACACTTGTTTAAGGAATGTTAAACTGCGTGCGCATTCACAAATCCGGCTTTTGTGAATTGCATGTTTCAGCCAGTAAAATAAAGAGTGGTAAAATAAGGAAAGATACATTAACTTCTGCTCTCATAACGCTGAGCTTTGTGAATTGACCCCATAGTCATTTATGTTGAGTTTATTCAGGAACCATCAGAGTTTCACGTGTTGGGAGCATATGTTTGATTTTGTATGAGGTTCGCTAGCTTCATTAAGTACACAAGGGGTATATCCCAAGATATGCATATTTATGACTCAGCGCCACAGTGTCCTTTGTATAACAATTGCTGTATAAGGTATTACTGGGATTTGTAATCCTCTATGTCTGCTGGTATTCTGCATTGCTGTGTAATGTATTGGTGGGGTGGGTGTGCTTCAGATTTCTCTGCCTACATGCTCCTGAGAAGAAAATCCGGCCCTGCGAAGAGATCGCACTGATGCACAACAGCATAAGGAGGACCATCAGAGGGACACAAAGACCATTAACCCGTTCTGTGCCAGACCAGCACACACTGGGAAATTCAGATATTATAGCCAAGACGTATCACTATAGCACTCAGAGTGGTACAGGGAATCCCGGAGAGGCCTCAGGCCCCCCACAACCCACACTACTTAATCGGGTCGTAGATCATTATTCAGCCTGTCCACAGTCTGTGATGAGCAGCCTGGGGAGGAATGAGGGAGGAAGAGAGGAGGAGGAGGTCGATACATGGGGGAGACCAAGAGGAACTACAGAAAGGTGGGATATCCTGTGTAAGGAAATAGAAAGCATGGGCTGAGGAACACACACTGTGTGACATGAGGACCACCTACAGCTCTGTATTGCAGAGATGACTCTCCAATTAGGTGGCCACTCGTTCCAGGCTGGGGTCCCACAAGGCTCAGCGAGTGGCTACCCGATTAGAGAGATGCCGCTGTCTCTGCTGGATTGTGTTCAGCCCTGCCGGCCCAGACTGCCATCAGGTATACTATGGTGATCCAGAGGTGGGCCTGGAGCTGGCACTCTAGTAGCCCCTATGTTAATTCGGCCCTGTCTTTATTTTAGGGAAGAAGAATTCTTAATGTATTTATAGCATTGACCACTACATGGCACTAGCTGGACACTGTAGAACCTGAACCTAAATTCTGCTTGGTGTTTGCAGTATTATATATGGTGGACCTGAATTAGGATACCTGTGTGGATAAAAAAATTGGGGTATTTTACTGACACTGATTAGAACTGAAGAAGTGATTGGATGTGCTACCAAATGTCTTCAATGTTACAGAACAAGTCCAGATGAATGTGACCAACTACTAGTACTGGATAGGTCTAGGATTGTTGGAAGAAGCTTCTGTAACCTTTAGGATCCATTGATGGCTTATTGCACCCTAACCAACCCTCCCTTTTCTCCCCCCAGTTTTAGCAGTGTGTCATTGTCCTCCCATCTTCGTTCCACCTCACCATGTGCTCAGTGTCTGCAGCCCCATCTCTGCCAATCCCTCCATTGGCTTTATAATCATCCAAAGAATAAAATAAAAAACAACCACTTACAAAGCCATCCACAACTCTGCCCCCAACCTTGAATCTCATCTCAAAGTATCACCCTCATCGTCCTCTCCCCTCCTCCCAAGACCTCCTGCTCGCTGGATCCCTCATCTCCTCCTGCCATGCTTACCTCCAGGACATCTCCAGAGTCTCTCCCCTCCTCTTGTCCTCCCTACCTCAACCTGTCTGGGTATCTCCTTCTCTGTCCACCTTTAAGCGATCACTAAAGACTTAAGGGTCTATTCACGAAGCTGCCGAAGGATCTAGCCGTTAGACTTGTGCGCCATCAAAAAAATTGTTCTGTTTCGTTTCGTTTCGGAATATCCGTTATTTCGTATTTCGTAATTCGTAACTGAACTCAATTCGGATTCGGATTCGTACGAAATACGAATTTTCGTTAGTGGCGGTTATATTTTCGTAACTTTACGAACATTCGTTATGATGAAGTTAAAAAGCAAAATACCTTTGTTAATATTGGAGTGGTAGTTGTTTTTTTTATCCGAAATACGAATTCCGTTAACGGATTCCGTATTCCGAATTCCGTATTTCGGACTTTAAAAAAAAAAACTACCATCATCAACTCCAATATAAATGTACTTTGCTTTTTACCTTCAATATAACGAATGTTCGTAACGGAACGAAAATACGTCAACGGAATTTCGTATTTCCTGCCTGTGTGTGTAACTGTGTATTGTAATGCATCAGCAGCAGCGGATCCGTATCTCGGATTAAAAAAAAATCTTGTCATGTTGTTCAACCTCATTTACAGGGGTAATATTAGTTCCTGTTTCAAAGAAATTCGGATCCGAAATTCGTTAACGGAATTTCGTATTTCGGATATAATTCGGAAACTGCCATTCGGATTTCGGATGCTCCGAAATTCGGAATTTCAGGAAAATTCGTACGAATTTCGATTCGTAACGAAACGAATCGCACATGTCTACTAGCCGTAGCTTAGGTCTCTATTCACTATAGCCCATACAGCTCCCGAACGTGGCCGAGCGGCTCAGTCGAGCCGAACGCATATGCCTCGGC